CCTCCTCCTCCTCCTCCTCCTCCTCCTCCTCCTCCTCTTGCTGGTGTTGCTGTTCCTCCAGATGCTAGTATTTCCCCGGCTGACGCCGCTCCGCGCGCCCCCAAGCCACGTGGTGTTCACGGGCGCCGTGGTCCGCGCAATTGCCAGGACGTGCACAATCGGTATGGCGTACACGGGCGTTGTGGATAAACTATGTCCGCGTGTTCATTGAGCAACAACAGAAAAATCATAACCAGCTCATAGAATGGATTTGCGACGTCTGGGCCCCCACCGATTTTCCGGATCTTGGCTCCGTCGGTACCTTCAAGTGTACACGCACACACATTGTGGTGTACGCAGGCACCGTGGTGCACAGACGGCGCTGGAACAGCAGTTGTAGTGTACACAAGCGCCAAGGTATGCACAAACACGATGATGTAGAAAAGGCGCTGTAGTGCACACGGCTGTTCTGGGGTATACCGTCGCCGTGGTGCACACGCATACCATTTGTGCAGCAGTTCGCCTGCACAAAAGCACTGTGGTGTACACAGCACGTGTTGTGTGCGCAGGCACTTCTGGGCTTGGACGACGACGACGACGAAGACGACGTAGGCGGCGCGCCTCGGGGGATGCGCGCCGCGGCACCCGTTTCCGTTACTCCCCCCGCCCCCCCCAAAAGGTAACATGTGTTATGCCCAAGGAGTTTAAAACATGGGCTCACAGCAGATCATATGGGTGCCTCACGAGTCCACCTCCTCTCCACAGGGCCTCCATGTAGATTCTTGTCTCGCGCATGCACACCCACGCCTGTTACCGGCTCCCAGGCGCAGACCGCCACATCCTTTGTCCGTGGCGCTGCGACCATGAGCACACTCCGCCATCGATGCAAGTCTTCTCGACCTCCTGCAAGCCAGGGGGAGTGGATGTCCGGGCGCAATGGGGGTCCTCTTCGGCCGTTCCCGTGCCGCTTTCGGGCCGTCTTGGGGCCATCGAGGCCGTCCTGGGGGTCTCCCGGGGCCGCCGCGTGGCCATCTTTGGGCCGCCTCGCGCCGTCTCCTTGGGCCCGTCATCTCGGGGGGGTGTTTCGGGGCCCCTGGCCGTCTTGAGTGGAGGTGGAGGCTCTGGGCCCCCCGTTCGTGGGGAAACCAACAGGTACCGCTACCGCTACCCCCCTCCCCGAGGACCTCTCCCGGGGTGCGCTCTGACCAGGACGTCGAGGCGAGTGCAGCGGCGGCGACGGCGGCCCCCCAGGAGGCTTCCAAACGGGGAATTCGGGGCGAGGGGTGGCGGTGTGGGTGCCCTTGTTCTCCTCGGAGTCCGCACCCGCGTGCGCTGTTCCGCCCACGCCCGCGGCACCACCTGGGACCCCCCCCCCCGCCCCCCAGGAGTCCGTCGTGTGAGGCGGCCCTCGGGACGCGCGTCGAGGCCCCCGCACCTCGCCTGGCATCGCCGCCGCCGTCGGCCGCGCTGCCGCCGCTCCTGCCAGAGCCCCTCGCGTCGACCACCAGAGATCCAACGCAGTAGCCCAGAGATTCAACGCAATAACAAACATCAAGGCGGAGGTGTTTCGCAGTTTTCTGCCTCTAGGGGCCCTCGCGGGGCCTCGGGACCGTCAAAAAACTGCTCAGGATGAAGAACCCGTTCTGGGGAATGGGTCGAGTTTTCCAGGGACCGCGTTTTGAAACACTCTTGCGCCGTTTGCGACCTGCCAGAGGCCCTCGCTGGGCCCCAGTCCCGGGGAGTGGGGGGGGACTTCGGGGGACCCCGCGTTGAAAAGATCAAGCTTTCAGTCGGGCCCGTCCCTCTACAGGGGGAATGCTCAAAAATAGTCAAAAAATAGTCCGGGGACTATTTCTTGAGTATTTTGGGGCATCTTGGCATTTTCTGGGCATTTTCTGACTATTTATCATTCTCCTCCAAAATCCCCCTGTAGGGGGACAGGCCTGACTTAAGTCAAGCCCAGGCCCGAGTCACTTCGTGACGGCCCCAGGGCCCGCAGCCCAGGCCTCGAGGAGTGCCCAGGATTTCGCTCCGCCCGACGTCATGGGGGCGGAGGTGGCGATGGGCAAGTTTTCCACCACCACCACCACAGGTGGGACGGGGGAGAAAGGATGACGGGGTGGTGCCCCCTCCCCCTCTTCCTCCTCCCCCTCCTCCTCCTAATTTCCCCTCTCCTACCTGTGGTAGTGGTGGTGGGACATCGGCCCAGCTGGAGGGGGTTGCCTCTCTTGGCCATTTCGTGTCCAGGCTAGCCTGGCTGGCGCTGGAGCAGATCAGGTCTCGGGCGGGTGGCAAAGTTAAGTCGGGCACGTCCCTTCACAGGAGGATTCTTCAAACATTGTCAAACAAACAATCAGGGGACGTTTTGAATATGTTGGTTATTTGTTTGAGATTTCTTTCGCAATCGGCCTGAAGGAGGACATGCCCGACCGAAGTGCTCGGGCGGGTGGCAATGGGGGGTGACCCACATGCGGGGTGAGCAACGGGCACTGCAGGAGCCCTTCTGGGCCCCCCCAAAAAAGGGGCCCCCCATGCGGGCCCCCGTCACCCCCCGCCTGCCACCCGCCCGACGGTCGGAGGGCCCTGCCGCATCGCTTTTGCGCACGGGCGTCCCCGAGGCATCGCCGGTGCGACGCTCCGACGCCGTCGCGTGCAGGAGATGACGGCCAGGAGCCCCCCGAGGGGCCCGACACGCCGAAGCGCCCCGGGCGATGTCTCATACACTCGGTGTCAGGCCTGCCCGTGGGCGTCGTCGTCGTCGCCGTCGAGATTCCGGAATGGCCTTCGGCCCGTCCCGTTATGCCTTGCCCGTGTTGTTGGTCAGGGTTCTCAGGGATGCTTGTGAGGGTCTCTTCACTTCGGAGCGTCGTCGAGGGCCTCCGGGGGGTCAGTTTTGGAGCCTCTGGGGACCTCCGGGGGGCCTCTGGGGGCTTCCGGGCCTCTTGGGGGCCTCCGGGGGTCGTGGGAGCCTCCGGGAGCCTCGTGGGAGGCTCCGGGGGGCCTCGTGGGAGCCTCCGCGGGGGGCCTCTTGGGGCTCCCGGGCCTCTTCGGGGCCTCTGAGGGCTTCTTTTGTCGGGGGTGGACAGAACCCCCAACAGTGACACGTCGATTAGTGAATTGTCCGTTTTCGGTTCTCGAGAGGGCGCCGTGGCCGCTATTTTCCACGCTTGCGCAAGCCAGGTTTGGGCCTCAGGTCGTTTTCACTAAACCACGTTTTACTAAAGGGGGGTCTGTCCATCCCCGATTTTGAGCTTCTTGGGGGTCTTTGAGCGACGGGAGAAAACTGGATCGACCAAAAGGGGCAATGGCACAGGCAAACTTCCGGAGTTCCGCGTGGATGTCTTGGATCCGCGCTGGGCCCCCCTCCCTGGCGCGCTGAGCGCGCCAGCGGCGGCGCCGGAGGCGCCGCCAGGGGGCCCAAGCGCAGATCCAAGAGATCCGCGCCGAGCCCCAAAAGTTTGTGTTTATGTCGTTGGCTCTGGCTCCTATCCGCTGCGCCGACATTCGCACTGAAGCGCTCTCTCCTCCACGCGCTGTGCCACGGTGGCAGCCGAGGCGTGAGCTCGTCATTTCTTCTCGCGCAAGGCCCGTGTAGCTCTGTCGCTCCTTGGGTCGTCCTCTCTGGAACTCGTGCCAGCGGAGGCTCAGCATGGCTGGTCCTTGCGTTGTTTTTTCGGGCCTCGGTTCCTTCCTCGTGCGTTGCTCCTCTGGTAGTGGTGTATTTCACTGGCCCTCGCGCTGCTTGCTTTTCGGGCCCTCGTTCAGTCCCCACTCGTCGCTGTGCGATTCAGCGCAAAGGAGGTTGTGCTCCACTGTAACCCACGTGCATGGAGGATGCGGGGCGATATTGTGGAGCTCATTTGTGGACTGCGTCTTGGACTTTCTTGGACGGGGCGCCACAAGGCCGAGGCGCAGGGAATGTGAATAAACATCGAGCCTCCAGGGAACAGGTTTTTCCGATACCCAGTGCGCCTCGGGTTTCTGGGGAAGGGAGCCCGAAAGTCAAAGCTGCAGTGGACATGCACAGGAGTATTGCCCGCATTTGCTCTCACGCTGACGACGCCGACGCATCTGCGATGCCTGTGCGACGCGGCGCAATCATCCGACCCCATCTGCGCCAGCCCCAGCTGGGAGGCCCTCGTTCTCTTGAACTGTACCGCCGGCGCCATGCTTCTGCGCAGGCCGCAGGATCGGCGGCGCCTTCTCAGAAGGCGGCGGGACTTCTCTCAGAAGCCCGCCAGCCTCGAGAGAGGTCTCGTGCGTCTCCAGAGAAGGTTTAGGACACTTCTCAGAAGGCCTGCCGAACCTTCTGAGAAGGCCCGCCCCTTCTCACACACACCCAGGACCACCGCAGAGAGGAGGTCTCGACCCACTCTTTGGGACCGGCCTTTGGCCCCGACAGTCCTTCGGGGGCCCCTGAACGGGGCGGTGACCACACCGTGCGGTGAGTCGGTGGGGATTCGGGGTCACCGCACGGTTTTGGGACTCGGGTCCCTCTCTGAGGACGTCTCGGGCGACAGGGGCCTCCAGGGTCCCAAAACCGTGCGGTGACGGACCGTGCGGTGAAGTCTTGGGGGATTTCGAGGTCACCGCACGGTGAGTCACTGCACCGTTTCGGGACTCCAAAGCTGGGGCCCGGTGAGGGCCCCCAGAGGCCGCGCACGGCAGACCGCCTCGCGCCGTGTTCACTTCACGGAGCGAGGGGTCCGGGGGAAGGGGAAGGGGCAGGGGCAGCGGTGCGCTCTCTTGCCCTGGGAGCCCATAGGAGCGAGCCGGACTCCTCCTCCTGCTCCCCCTTCTCCTTCTCCTTCTCCTTTTCTTCCTCTCCCTCCTCCTCGTCCTCCTCTTTTTCCTCCTCCTTCCTCCTCCTTCCTCTCCTTCTCATCCTCTAGCTCAGGCCTCCTGCAGCTGTTCGGGACGGCCCGGGCTTTCGGCGAGGCGCAGTTTCTGCGACGCACCCCGGGGCTGGATGCCCGCCAGATAGCCCACGAGTCGTCGTCCCATGCTGTTCTCTGCCCCATCCGGGCGTTCTCCCTGATGGGCTCATTGTCCACCACCATTATCATGGGTAGTAGGGAGGAGGAGGATGAGGAGGAGGAGGAGGAGGAGGAGGAGGAGGAGGAGGAGGAGTAGGTGAAGGAGGAAAAGGAGGAGGAGGACCTCCCCATCCTTCCTTCTCACCTGTCCTACCTATGCCAGTGGTGGTGGAAAGTTGGCCCATCGCTCCCGCTTTTGCCGCGCTGCAGCCCCGTGCGCCGAAGCCGGCGGCACGCCTTTTGTGGCGGCCGCCCCGCAGCGCGTGCACGCCGAATGCGCGCGCGCGCCGCGCGGTTCGCGCGCGGGCGGGCCCGGCCAGCGGCGCGTAGTGCGTATCGTCGGGTATTGCCAGAATCAAGTCGGGCATGTCTCTGTACAGGAGGAACCAGTCAAGCATATTGACAACATGGTGAGGGAACGATGTTTTGGATATGCTGTTTCGTCCAGAAGACATGTTCGACCTGATGCTAGAAGTGGCCCTGGCCCAAGGTGCCCTCAGGATTTCCAAGGAAGCCCCCACGGCCTCGAGGGCACCCTTCACGAGGCCCCGAGGGCCGCGCAAGCACTTCGCGGGGTCGACCTGCAGGAGCCGCGCCCCGTCGCGTCGCCGAAGTATCGGGACACCTGGCGGCTCTCGAAGGACCTGCAGAGCAGGCTGATCGGCGTTCGCGGCGAGGGGGGCCCGCGTATGCCGAGAAGACGGGGCCCCCGGGGAGACTGGAACAGCATGTTGGGGGCACCTTTGGGCCTTGGGCACCCTCCGCAATCCCCGATATAGGCGCACCACCGCCCTCTCGCGGCTGTCGGTGGTCACCAGAGCCACCCTGCAGGATCTTTTAAGCGATCTGTATCCTCAGACCCCCTCGGGTCATGACAAAAATGATCCCGGCAAAGCAACCTAACAGCGATGTGTATAAGCATATCTGGAAGTCTTCCCCTTCAGATTCGGGTGGGAATCCAGTTGTAAAAGTCTGCTGTTCTCGCAGTCGCAGTCGCATTCGCATTCGCAATGACAGTCGCAGTGGCAACGGCCTTAGGATCCCTAGGAGTCCTAAGGATTCCTTAGGCATCCTTAGGCATCCTTAGGAATCCATAGGAATCCTTAGGAAACCTTAGGAATCCTTATGAATCCTGATTCCTAGGGATTCCCAGGGATTCCTAAGGACTCCTAGGGAATCCTAAGGATTCCGAAGGATTCGCTTGCCTCGGCCTTAGCCTCAGCCTGCCTCAGCCTCAGCCTGCCTCAGCCTCAGCCTCAGGCTGCCTCAGCCTCAGCCTGCCTCAGCATCGGCCTCAGCCTCATCCTCAGCCTGCCTCGGCTTGCCTCGGCCTCAGCCTCAGCCTGCCTCGGGTTCAGCCTCAGCCTCAGCCTGCCTCAGCCTCAGCCTCAGCCTGCCTCAGCCTCAGCCTGCATCAGCCTCTCAGCCTCTGTCTGCCTCAGCCGCAGCTTGCCTCAGCCTCAGCCAC